ACACACAAACACACGGTCTAAGTTCGTAACGAAAATGAATTAAAAACGACAAAAAAATATAAGTAAATAAATAAAATAAATAACGTTGAAACGAAGGGTCGCACGGGTCCATTTTTTCGAGAGTATTAAAATCGAACGTAAAATAAACGCTCTGTAATCTAATCGATTCTCCTAACTATAAAGAGGCTGTGAGACTAATCTTTTGCCGTTTTACGCTGCTCCCTCGTTTTTCTACCCTCGCACTGCTGCCGATGCATACGCGCCACTTGTGCACGGTGCCATTTTACGCGTCCATTGCGCCGCCATTTTGGCCGAGTGTCTCGGAAAGCGCAACCTTCGCTCTGGCATACGCTCCAAAAACGATTAACCATTATTTGTGGAAAGTTTCGTGAGAGATCGGCGAACGTGTGTAACGAATCGACGCGCAAGGACCATTTCTGTGAAACGGGAAAATATTTTAGTACTTGTGACGAAGAATTATAATTAATTTCAGTCATGGGAAGGGAACTGTGCAGACGTACAGATTGCAATGGTACAAATGAAACTCAAAGAGTTTTTGATTAACGGAAAATTGTTTCTTATTTAAAAAATTTGTAATTTAACGATTTTCGCGCCAATTCGAGGGAAATTGTTATTACATAAATTGTTATTTACTTAAAAAATATTCTAATAGTAATTTTGATAATCGTATTTTGGCATAATTATTATATTTTGAACGTTTTGGTTGAATACATTTCGATCACAAGTACTTCGATACACATTTGACTCAAAATAGAGTCACGCGTTTTCGAATTTCGGGAAACTGTGAAACATCTGTCCACTAAACAGTTGAAGTGTTAAAAGATAGCAGTAAAAATGAAATTGGAAACTTTTTAATCTGTTTGTCTCGAGGAAATTAGCACGAAATTAACAGCACATCAACAGAAACTTCAAAAACCTTTGCAATGTATTAAACATTGTGTAGTAACACGCGTGAACGTTAAACAAATTTTTATCGATAGATTACAAAAATTTACAAAATCTTCATTTATAACAATCTGAAAAATTATAAAGAAAAATTGGCACCTTTTGATATATTAATATCGTCTAAATAAAAATATATCGAATTATTTCCGAATTGATAAAATTATCAGAAAAATGATGAAATAGTTACTACTCAATGATTAATTGCATCACGCATAACGCCCAGAAATTTTCCCACTGAATCACAATTGCTATCCGCGGAGCCTGCATTTCCCAGTGTCGTCAATTAAACGCGAAGTGCGAGCATGTTAATATTGAATTCGGAACTCTTCTAAACGCTTGACGGTGAGAGACTGTTCGAACGATCATCGCTAAATACATTAAAAGAAAGAAAAAAAAAAGAAAAAAAAAAAAATAATAAGAACTCACATATGTATATGTATAACGTAAGCGAGTCGAGATTGGTGTTATATTTTAATGTAATGTGTAAAAAAAAGAGCAAATAACAAAAGACAAAAAAGGTATGTGCGCATAAAAGCCATGAAACACACACCGGTACTTAGACGTTTATCGACACAGTATTGTAAGAAAACTATAGTTACGATGTGCACCTCCCCCCCCCCCCCCCACCATATTTCCTTCACCACCATCCCTTCGATTGTTATTGTATTAGCGATACCAAGGCCGACACTGTACATTGCAATCGGATCAATCTGTACGTCGAACTTGGTGCGACCAAATAGAATTGTTGACCGTGTAATTTCCGTTCATAGTACCTTCTCGAATCCCCGATCCGTGAAACGACGTATTCCTTTCTAATTTACTCGATGGAAAGCAATTTTTACCGCGAATTGAGATTATTGCTTCAACGAGACGTTTGAATCGATCACTTTGTACGTGGAGAATTTTTAATCTATTATTTGCGTATCGATATACTTAAATACTGGTACTTATTGCACTGATATGTAGATACTGGTATTCGGTATTATAGACTTGCGAATGTTAAATAATTAGTATTTAGAAATATTCGAGTACTGATAGTTCTGTCAATATTTAGTACTCTGAGATACTCGATACGAGTATTCGGTACTTCATGGTACTCAAATGCTAATAGTACCCTGGGATACTCGAATACAGGTACTTGGTAATATAGGATACTCGAATACAGGTACTTGGTAACCTAGGATACTCGAATACAGGTACTTGGTAACCTAGGATACTCGAATACGAATATTCGGAAGTGCGAGGTACTCGGATACCGGTACTCAGTGGCCAGAGATGCTTGGATACAGGTATTCGAGGCTTTAGTGTACTTGAATACTGGTACTCTATGCTCTGACACACTTGAATATCGATAACCGGAACTGTGCAGTATCCAAATACCCGCAATCGGTACTTTGAGGTACTCGAATACATGTACTCGGTACTCTATGGTACTCAAATGCTATGACTTAGTACTCTGGTATACTCGAGGTATGTACTCGGTACTTTGCAGTACTCGAATATTAATATATGGTATTTTGGAGTACTTCAGTATCAGTACACACCATTTATTCTTGAATACTTAATATACTAGAATATTCGAATATCAGTACTCAGCATAATTACTTATTTAGATATTAAATGACAGTCGTTAATGGAAACTTTGAAAACCTGAGTTACATACGCCTATATATACCGAAAGGAGTACAAGAAAATTGGTTAGAAATTAATTTGAATTTAACAAATCAATTTCGAGCTAGTATTATTCGGTTCAAATTGATCGCTGGCGGTCGAAAATTTCTTGTAAGATGACAAATTTTGGAATACGTTTATTCTAATCGATCGAGGATTCGTATCGTAACAACGTAGAACACCTCTTCGAACGAGCAGAATAAGAGAAATTAATAAGAAACAAAAAAAAAAAAAGGTTGATACTAGATTGTAAGGATTTTGGGAATTCTCTGTAGATCTGTAGATCGCTGTGTCACTCGCTCCGGTACTAGGTAACCGGAAATAGGAAAGCCTATTTTTGCATTGCGTGATTAAAGGCAGAAAACGTGTTTAGAGTCAGTTCCCATTCAACTGATATCTATTTGGATGATGTCTTACGTAAGACTACGGGACGATGCAAGGACGATTCGCGGGATGTTCTGCCATTTTGTCGTTTCCATTATATCACGTGATCAAATTATCCGAATGTTTTCACTTTAATCGCGGGAATCCGTTGCATTTATTTACTCTTCCACATTTGATCCGACCTCTGATGCATAAAATGAGAATAAGTGGTCTTATTTTAGTTTAATAAGCTTCCATGTCCGGTTTTCAAAATTTGCTTTTGCGTTGTACACACGAATTGACAGAAGTACACGAGTAGAATCAAAAGTAGATAGATTCAGCATAAAATATTTTTGCAATCTGTTTTCGGATAAAAATCTACTCCTATCTTATCAGTTTTTCTCTAATTGGAAATCAACTAAGAAAAATGTACCAAACTTGAAAATTATCCAAAATGAAAAATCAAAAAATTAAACAAGTAGAAAAATAAGAAATCAAAGTATCACTATCTTGGACATATTTTAAATATTTTAACAAAATACTATTCTGATAATAATGTTAATATTAATCATAAAACAATTGTCTGAAAATGTAGAGGTAAAAAATATTCGGCTCTATATTATAATTTTATCTGAAATTCAAGTAGCAATTATTACCTGGTAATAATTAAAACCGGGTTGGAAATAACAAAGAACATCAAACAATCGAACTTGAATCGTCTTGATATTGTAACGATACATTGCTTCGACCACATTCGTAAAAACGGATTAATCTATAATCGATAATTACAATTAACTAAAATCGCTAGAATTTTGAAAACTTTTCGAACCAATTCGCATACAAATTTAAAAAATTTTGGAAAATTTGGAAAAAGATATTACAGGATAATAGAAGAATCCATTACCATTGAGCAAATCGATCGATAAAGTCGCGATCGACTAGCGAATATCGAGGTAAGATATCGACCGATCAGACGTCGAAATCCTAACCTCAATCAACGAAGCAAAAGTCAACCGAGAACATCGGGCACGTGAATTTTAACCTTTACACAATCGTGTGTTTCCGTTAATAGAAGAATCACAATTCAGAGAAAAACTGGTCACGGAAAAATCGTTTCACATGCGATGTACATACGTCAATAACGTGATCAATTTTTCAAGAAATTGCGAGCGCGGTGGAAGCAATGGTCGAAGTCGGGAGTGTAAAATAAAAGTAGGTTAAATCAGAGGCACTTAGGCGACTTTTATTTCGTGTTACGCATTATAGTAAACAATTAACACGTCGCCTCGATGAAGATTGAAATTTCATTACTTAGATGATAGTGATCAAATTAGCATCGTACCTTTTTCGCGCGCGCTGGTGCTACTGTGCTCGTTGCACGGAGAATGCTTTTCAGCATGATGTGATCATTTCTCACACTTGCC